GGGCGCCAACAGTCTTTGTATTGAGTCTACTGAGTATGTGGGCCATGGGGTCTGGTCCCATATACTCTATCAGTGTGTTTATAGGCTATAGCTCAAATCATAAAGGCTATAACTGTTTATCATCCTTTGGAAAGATATATCTCTCTCGAGATGTTATCTTTCATGAATCTAAGTTTCCTTATACTACACTTTTTACTCTCTCTTCTTCTTAGCCACCTACTGCTTCAAGTCTTATATATAACTCTTTTTCATCAGCCATGCCAACCACTGTTCACAAACTCATCTTTTCCCTCTTCTGCTTAATCTTCTTCCTCAGCCTCAACTGATTCATCTCAATCAAACTCCAATACTCCATCCCAATCAGTTTCTTTACATCCTGTCAATCATGAATTATCAACTCAGTCCTCCTCCTCTCCCGGTGCATCACCAACCCCTTATGAGTTCACTCCATCTTCTGATTCCCCACCCTCTTTAGTCCCTCACACTAACACTCATCCTATGAAAATTAGAGCCAAATCTGAATATGATGTTTTATTATATATCTAACAATACTTGGTCTAGTGTTCCCCTACCTTTAGATAAGCAAGCTATTGGGTGTCAATGAGTTTATAAAGTCAAAGAAAATTAAGATGGCTCTTTAAACAAGTATAAGGCCAGGTTGGTAGTCAAAGGATTTCATCAAAAATTTGGCTTTGATTTTGGAGAAACCTTCTCTCCAGTGGTTAAACCCATCACCATCAGAATTCTTCTCACCATTGTTGTCTCTAATCACTAGCCAATCCAACAACTTGAAGTAAATTAAACAATGCCTTCCTCAATGGAGTACTTGATGAAGAGGTATACATGGTGCTAGGGATGGACTGGGCCGGTTTGACCCGACCCGGTACCCGGCCCGACTCGTTATTGTGCGGGACTGGGACCGGGCTGTGGGGCCCGAACCGGGGTCAAATGGGGCGGGCTTCGGGACTTAATTTTATTGATCCGGTCCTGGCCAATTTTTTTTTAGCTTTTTTGCATTGGGCTGCTTCTAGGTGGGTTGGGTTGGATATTTTGGCGGGGTTTGGGGGTGGGGGTAGGAATAAATTAGAAAAGACTACATTTAAAAAATATCGACCCGATCCCAGTTCAAACCCGGGCCGATACCGGGCTTTCAGCCTAAATCCTCAGTCCCGCCCAATCCCGGCTGGTACGGGTGGACTCGGGCCGGGCCAACCGACCCGGAACCGGACCGGCCCGCTATTGTGCGGGCCCAGCCCGGACCGGTGAACCGGTTCCGGGCCCGGTTCGGGCTGACCGGCCCGGTGGGATGGCGGTTCGGGCTCGGGCCCTTCAAAAGGTGAACCGGGCCGGGCCAATTTTTTTTTTTTTAAATTTTTTTTACGTTTTTGAGTTGGGCTGGGTATTTTGGGCCATTTGAGGTGGTTAGGGTTGGTTTGGGGGTGAGGGGGAGGGTTGGGGGTTAACTAGGAAAAGCCAAAAAAAAACAAAATAGAAACGAGGCCCGGCCCGGCCCGGCCCGGACCCGGGGGTTACCCGGGCCGGTTCCGGGCCTCCCCTTCTTGAACCGAGGCCCGGCCGGGCCTGAACCGGAACCGGTCCACCCCTACCGGCTGGGGCCCGACCCGACCTGGGCCCAGTCCATGCCTACATGGTGCAACCTCTAGATTTTCAAGTTGAAGACACTTCATTGGTTTGTAAGCTTCATAAGTCACGGTCTCAAACAACGTCCAAGAGCTTGGTTTATCAAGCTCACTTCAGTCCTATTTATCGCTTGTTTCAAGCAAAACAAGTGTGATCCATCTTTGCTTATCTTCCTATCCTCTGGAGTTCATATATATGTGTTGATATATGTTGATGATATACTGCTCATTGGGGATAGCTCAACTGCCATTAATCAGCTTATACAGAAGTTAGACTCATCCTTTTCTTTTAAACATCTAGGAGATTTAGATTTCTTTGGGGTATAGAGGCTCGCAAACTGTGTGATTGATTTTTCCTATCAATCACCCTAACTTTGAGGGGTAGACATAGACTGTTATAAGTTTGTTATAATTATTTTTGACTTGGTCAAGTGGGTTGAGCCTTGTATGACCTAACCAGTCTATAAATACATTGTACTTCCTTTTATATTGAACAAGATCAGTTTACTATTCTTCTCAAATATTCTGTCGGTAAACTTTCTATTAAATTATTGACATGTATTTGCAATGAATTTTGATTATAGCCCAATACTTGCAATTCAGAGCATCACACAAGTTTTCAACATATTCCTAAATAAATTCAGAGCATAAAAACTTCCCCTCAAGTCCCAACCGTCAGCTTCTGATAGTATAATTTGCTGAATTCAACACTGAAATGATGCAATCATCTTAAAATGGCCGTATATAGTTTGGAACACGGACCGCAATAAGGGAGACTTGTACTTGTTTGTTCATTTCGTTTACCTTTCTTAATCGTTATTCCAGAAAGTGTGATTGAATCGATTTAATGTGGAATATAGATTAGACTTGACGGTGTTTGAAAACTAAACGATAATGAAATTAGCATTAGCAATTTACATAATTATACACAGCGCATGAAGTTCAATTTTAAATCAAATTTCAACTCAATTTGTATGTGACGATGTGATCCTTTTTATGAGTTGTATGAAAAATTAAATTTATTTATTCAAAGAGACTCTTATATGGTCCAGAAAGTCGTTGGAATATAAATCAATTAACATTTTGGCTAAAGATCATATTTGCCAGTGGTGCGATTCAAATTCATAGCCTACAAAACCATCCATAATCCCACTAAATTGTGAAGGATGAGAGACGTTCCCTCCCCTCCATGGACTCATTGCATGTAAAATGTACGTTCGCCACTATTAAACCTTACCCATCGTCAATGTCTCAACTAAAGCGGGTGGCGGCAACCTTTCTCTCCATTGCCCCCATAAGCCAACAAGGTGGTGAAAATGGTTCCGCTAAGGATATCAGTCACCTCCGTTCTCCTCATCTCTTCCTTCCTCTCTGCCGCCTCCGCCTTCAATATCACAAGGATCCTTGACCATTACCCTGATTACACCACATTCAATGATCTCTTAACCCAAACTGGCTTGGCCTCTGAGATCAACCAACGGTCAACAATAACCGTTCTGGTTGTCAGCAATGAGCATATCGGAGATCTCTCCAGCCTCCCAACTGAGGTGAAGGAGAGCATACTCAGAACCCACATCATTTTAGATTACTTTGATCTCATGAAGCTGAACCAACTTAAGGATAACACTGCTAAGCTGACAACTATGTACCAACAGACCGGTGTTGCCTCCTATGATCAGGGGTTCTTGAACGTTACTACCGGGGAAAATGGTATCGTGTTCGGCTCTGCCGTTAAGAATGCTCTGCATGATGCCCGACTCGTGGGATCTGTCATGAGCCGGCCTTATAATATCTCTGTGCTCAGTGTTTCACATCCCATTGTGACTCCTGGCCTTGATGGGAGCTTCCAACCGGTAGCAGCACCACCTCCTCCTCCTAAATCCCCGGCCCCAGCCCCCGTGCCAAGCCACAAAGAGGAAGCTGTTCTCGCTCCGGTTGAGGCTCCGGTGGAGGCAGATGCTCCTGCTGCCAATGCCGACTCACCAAGCTTTAGTCCATCTGGGTCCCCACCTGAGCCTGCTGATGGACCCGAGGCAGATGCAGATGCGCCCGGTGCAGATGCACCGGATGCAGATACAGCAGATACTTCCAAATCAATGGCCAGGAAGTCTAGCATATCCTTCGGTGTATTCTTTGTTTTAGGTGCTTTAGTGGCAGCTCTGTAACTTATTGTGAGAAAAACATGAATCAAGATATAATGGGAGGACTAACATTAAATCATGATGATGGGAAGGGGAATGAAGGTTATTGAAAGAAATTGTGTTTTCACGTTAGCCAATGGTCAAGGAAAATATATGCTAGTAACATATAACATAGATGTCTATATGGCTAGTATAGAAAGACTTGTTATACATAAGTCTAAATATATTCATTCAATTACTAATACTTCATTATTTCCATCATTTGCAATGGAGCCAAAGATTCATTATTTTTTGGCTTGAGATTATGATGGAATAAAGCAAAATGGCTCACTAAACTGTCTGCGCTTCTTTGTTATGAAGCAACAGTCAGCCCATGCAATTTTGGATGGGATTTTCACTATGAGTCATCCGGAAACAGTCTCTTTATGCTTTAGTACAGGGGTAAGACTGCGTACATCCGACCCCCCTTACCCCACCGTAGGTGGGAGTCTTTGCGACACTGGGGTAAATGAAAATGAATGACTAATACTTCATTAATTAGAGTCCATTTAGTAACAATCAAATTGACTGGAACGGTTCAAGTTGTTGATGTTGATTAAATTTTGGTGAAGCGGCTAAATCGAATGAATCCACTGAATTTTGACAAAAAATATTAATAAAATAAAGAAACATTATATGAAAATATAGTTAAAATAGTAATCTTTCAGCAATTATAGCCAATTCAGTCAGAAAAGTAACTCCAACTTTACTCATTTTGATTATTGCACAATTCAGCGCGTGAAATCAAACGTTATGTGTTTGGTAAAAAAAATGAAAAGCCTAATAATATAGGGATTACCAAAGGGGCTCTTAGCATTATATAGATGAAATTTGAACTATTTAAACCAGCCATGAACCTTCACATCCGCACATACACACGCAAGCACACTTGGCATGCACAAAACTAACACCTGCGCCAATATTGTTAATAATACTACATATATAAAGAGATCTTACTCAATTTTTCCAAACCCATCTTCCTTGTTCATCTCCTGCAGTATATAGTTCATAATTTGGAAATTCCAGCATATACATATATATACATGTGTGTATTACTACATATCATGAATCAATGAATTTTGAAAGGTGGGGAGGGGGGATGTGGTATTTGCAAGAATCAAATTTCCAAATTGTATCTATTAAGCTAATCAAACTCAAAAAGGACCCACTCAATCAGAAAAGCATCAATCCCAAACCTATATTAAATTAAGCATTGTAGATTCTTAGTGGGAAACAACACATTGTGCATCAATTTTTTATCCAATACGAAGACATACATTCTCTTACTTTACTATGTTAAATCGAACCAACACAAAATGAAGCTAGTTTAAATGTGACCAGAAGAAGAAGAAATAGTTGCAGGTTAAAACCTTTTTTGGAATCAACAAATTCAGTGCCTAGGTATTATTTACGATGCACTTCCACGTCGGACATTAACTTGGGCAGCCTGTTCTTTTGTTGATACTTTGCACATGAATACCACACGCCACCGGCTGTGTTGATCACCAATCCAGTGACGTTTAAGGCATGCACTTGAACTCCTCCTAACAATACAAAGCCTAGCGTCTGCATTATCAGACATCAAAGGTTTTTCATAAGAACTGACGTTTGATTGCCATTTAGTAAAACAATAAACGAAGGATAAGAATGTCAAACTATTGTGCATAGGATGTATCTCCTCACAATGAAACAAGACCGAAATGTAATACAGAGTAATTTAAAACACTGGCTTAGCTGAGAGACCATCTCAGGCCCTGCCCCATCCCGAGTTTGGTAAAAACAAAAATGTGTAAAATATATACTATAATGTTTATATGAACAAGTCATTTTTGGGCCCACCCCAAAATCATATTTTGACAACTTTGGCAAAGTCAATACTTCCGAAAGACGCTTTTAAAAAAAATGACTTTCAACTTTTACAGCCTTTTGTATTACATTTTGACCTCTCACTCTGAGAACGTCCTCACACAAGTTATGTTATTTGCACAAAGAAACAGAAGACTGAGAATTATGTTATATTTTATACGCACCGTGGATCCAACCCCCTTGAGCACTCCAACGATTGTGGTAGTTAAGGCAGAGTTGACTATGGTACATAAAAACATTGTGTAGTTCAAGACTATGCCCATCACAAGTGAAAGTAGAAGAATCACAAAGAATGATACTGATGTAGTCTGTTCATGGAGGAAGAAAATATTTAAGATACTTGTATTACTATCATTAACATAAACATAAGCAACAAGCATAGGAAAAGTGACAGAGCTTGTCATACAAATGCATAAAATATGCATTTAAAAGGAGAAAGATAATTTTATTTGATAATTTTACAACCGAGGTTGTTCCGGGTAGGGGCACACATGGTCCGATCGGTTCCGAATTCCGATCCTGGAACCCAGGATTCTGGTTCCGAGTTTTGTGAATGGGGTAAACGTAATCGGAAATTCGAAAAGATTAAAAAAAATCCAAACTCGGAATGGGAACCGCCAATTCTGGTATTCTAAACCTGGAACCTTATCCCATTGGTTGGATTCCAGTTCCTTGACCTCTCATATATATGTTTTTTGTTTACTGCCTCAGATTGGACCATATAATGAAAGGAAAACTACAAGAACATAGAGAGAAAATGTGGAGGGTAATAAAAAAAGGTCTAGATTCAAATCATTCAACAAACAATACTTCCTTTGTTTTTTATTAGTTGCTCCTGATTCATTTTTGGAATGTTTTTTTATATTTGCTCCAATTTGCTAATTTGGCAAATATTTCCATATCAAAATACATAAATAGCCTGACATTATCATCTTGTCTCTCTACTTCTTTAGTCTTTCATCTACTATCTCCTACTATTACTACCCCTACAATTTTCTTCTCTAAACCAGTGAAAAAACTAGAGGAGCATCTAATGAAATGAGAGGCATTATTATATATTTGTTCAAATTCAGTCAATTTATTTATTTCTATCCTGTAAAAGCTCGGAAAGTTAAACATGTGTGAAATTCTAGGGAATTTTATTCATATTTGATTTTTCTATATATTTTCCAAGATAGAGCATAAAATCAAACATCTAAAAGACTAAAAGGAGTGTGATGAATAGTCCATGCTTCACGCAAAGTGATAGTTAAATATGGTCTATGGGGCTTGTACAGCTAAGGATTCTATTCAAGTCTACAAAGAAAGGTTTCCTGAATGAAGATTCAGGTTAACAATTTATGCACTGAACATATTGAAAGTAGAAACGATGGCTAACAATCTGACCTTTGCAAATAATATGGACAACGAATTTGGAAACTCTCCAGTGGCTATGATCAGGAATAGTAGAAATGGTAAAGACAAAATGCTGTTATAGAACATAATCTCTATTGATGAAAGCCCATCCTCTGCTCCTGACCTCTCCACTAAAACAAGGTACATGGTCTGCAAATGACAAAAAGTAGCACTTAACTGACCATAGGAGCACAGAGAATTATCTCCTGAAAATCAATGCACAGGCATACCTGAAAGAAAACAGATATAAAGCCCATGCAATATCCAAAAAGATCAAAAGAAAAGTCTCCCACTGCTGCCACAAGAACTCCAGCAGCAATAGTCACTACAGAAAGAGTTACCTGCACCGAGAGATAAGGTTGGAACTTGAAATTGGCACTATATAGGGTAAACTTGTAAACAAGAATGGAATATTATAGAGGGCATTTATAGTTTGTCACTGATGTGTGTACTTCATCGGTCACTTTTATATCTTCAATATTTCCTTTTTCTTCCCTTCTAAAATTACTTCATCTTCCCTTTTAAGGAAGAGATTCTGTAGTTATTATTTGTTGTCTCTTCTACACAAATCTCAACCACACAGATGTTTCTTTCTGAAGAACGCAACAGTCAAACTATGAGATAAATAAGGGACAAAGCATAGAGAAAACTTGATGAGGTTCTCGGTAAAAAAATAATTAAAAGGAAAGGACAAGGAACTAAGGGAGGAGTGAGAAAACCCTGATGGATCTATCCAGACGAATAAGGCCAGGTTGGTGCAACAGGTTTTCATGAGAGATATGGTTTTGATTTTGTGGAAAGAATTCTACTTACACTTGCAATTTCTAACAAATGGCCAATTCAACAACTTGATGTTAGCAATACATTCTTGAATGGTGACATTGAGGAAGAAGTGTATATGATACAGCCTCCTGGCTTTACAACTACAGATAAATCTCTAGTCTGTAAGCTTCATAAAGCCCTATATGGACTTAAACAAGCTCCTAGAGCTTGGTTTCTAAAGCTAACCTCTGCCCTTGGATTCAAGCAAACCAAATGTGATCCTTCCTTCTATACTTGTTTTTCTAACTCCTGATGTCAGAATTTATGTGTTGATATATGTTGAATTGTTGATGATATTCTAGTAATTGGCAACAATTCCACAGTTATTCAAAAACTCATTCACAAGCTAATACTTCATTTTCACTAAAACATTTGGGAGATCTTGAATTTTTCTTAGAAAATGAGGCCAGAAAACTTTCTTATGGCAGTGTACATCAATCTCAAACTAAATACGTGAGAGATTTACTTGAAAAGTCTGGTATGAGTGACTCTAAAGGCCTCAAGACTCCTATGCTCAGTAACTGCAAGCTTACCAAGCAGTTAAACGCATTCTCTGGTATCTTTCAGGAACAATTCAACATGGCATTCTATTAAAACCAGCTTCTTCTCCTTCAGCTTTTATCATCACAGCATTCTGTGATGCTGATTGGGATTGAGATCCCACTGACAGGAGATCTACTTCTGGCTGATGTATATTTCTTGGACCAAATATTATTTCTTGGTGGTCCAAGAAACAAATCTGTGGACTCAATCTGATGGAGTATATTCCCGTATACCCCAGGGGTATCATAATCGCCGGTATAAAATATCACGGACGCATTCTGAAGTACGCAAAATATTAAAGTCCACACTCCAAGGCTGACCCCGACCGCCGAGGTCGGGAAAACACCAAGCTCAGGAATCAATCGAACTCAACAAATGACAAGGCTTGCAGAGCCCGACCCCAACCCCGAGGTCGGGAAAACATCAGGCTCAGGGATCAACCGAACTCGGCAACTTATGAGCCCGACCTCAATGCATCCGAGGTCGAGACCAGGTCTGGCCTCGGAAGTCAACAACAGTCAAGCAGTTGGTCAACGACAGTCAAGCATCAGGCAGTCAAACACCTGGGAGGCGAGTCCTCCCATCACCAGCCCGAACTTCCGAGCTCCCAGGTACCGACCTCAGCAAACCCCGAGGTCTGTTAATGGACTTAGACAAAATCCGCAAGGATCTACCCCTCAAGGAGAGACCGCCACGTCACCAGGGAATATTCTCAATTACCCACGCTTAACCACACGAGATTTCTGGCAGCAATTCTATTAGGAGAACACTCCAATTAGCCAACTGTTTAAGACTCTCCAATCAGCTTTACACGTGGCTGCTCCCAATCGAATTAGACTGTTAGTTTGTTAGAGTAACTTTACACGTGCCCCCTCCTATTAGACTAGCATCTTTTTACTTGGGCACCAAATATTTCCTTTTCTCCTTAGTATAAATATCACCTTCCAACTTGTGGATGGGGATGCTTAATTAATCGCACTCTGAATTCTATACTGTGAGATCGGAAAACCAGTTCACTCTCTCCCTTTCTTCTCTCATTTTCGGTGGATTCCGGCCACCCCTGGTCCGACGATCCATCATTTTTTGGTGCTTTCATTGAGAGCTGAACTGTGAACAAGTCAGATCCTCTCGATTTTCTTCAGAACTATACCGAACTTTTCTACAACAATGGCTGGAAAGAAAACATTGAGAAGTCGATGTGCTGCTGCCGCCGTCGCACAGGCGGAGCCCGCACTGGAAGCTACCGCCACTTCTGGCGATAGGAGGGCCACCAGGGGAAAACAAGTTGCTGGAACTTCTGCGGATCTGCGCAGTCAGATCCAGCATGCTTCTCCAGATCTGCGCCAGCAGATCTCGCTCAACCGTGATGCAGTGGCAATGTCGTCCGCACAGGTGATCCCGCAATTCCAGAATCTTCTGATGGTGGATCCCTCTGCGGCAGTTGGTGCCCTCATCACCGGATTGCAGCAGGTACTCCCCACACTGCAATCTCAGTCTGCAGCTATTGTGGCTCCCCAGGCTACCAGGCCTATCTCACCGGCGAACTCCAGATCTCGGTCTCTGAGATTGGGCTCTATTGACGCCCCTCTGGTGGTGGAGAGACCAGCACAGATGGTCTACCAATCTCCCCCTCGCCAGAGAGTGACTCCGGGGATCAACTCTCCCCCTATCCGTCAGGTGGCTTCCGCAGCACCTGTGAATGTTGTGTCTCTCGCACAACAAGCGGGGACCTCTCGCCCCACTGCGGCACCACAGAGGACGGCGCCACCGCCACCTCCCATGCTACCGTCCAGGTACACTGCACGCCGTGTTGATTACTGTAGAAAAATGTAACATATACTTGTTATTTTAATTACTTGTACATCCGGGACTGTATAGATAAGAATTAGAGTAGATAGAACTCTCTAATTAGTAGATAAGCTCACAGAATAGATAGAATAGATAGATCCTATATTTTAGGATCTGTAACAACTAGACTTTATCTGTAACTTGTATATATATCATAGCCGGATGGCTCAATAATATCCAAGGAAGTTTTATTCCTAAAACTTACATGGTATCAGAGCAGGTTGTTTAAACACCACAATGGTGGAAACCGAGCAATCTGACTCTTCTTCCCACTCACAAACCCATAACCCTAACTCTCCAAATAGCTCAATGACAAACTACCAGAACTAAGTCCATTCATCTATGCTCATTACTGGCCATAGATTGAATGACACAAATTATCTCGAGTGGTCACAGTCTGTCAAGCTGGCTATTGATGGAAGGGGCAAGCTAGGGTACATAACTGGTGAAATAGAGGAGAAACAAACTGGTGATGATGGCTACAGTGTCTGGAGGTCAGAAAATTCCTTGGTGACAGCATGGCTTCTAAGTTCAATGGATGCATCAATTGCCAAACCTCACATGTTCATGAAAACTGCAAAGGAGGTATGGAATTCCATTAAGAAAACTTACTCAGATCTTGAGAACTCTTCTCAGATTTTTTAATTAAAAACAAAGTTGTGGCAGTCCAAACAAGGCAATAGAGATATCATCTCTTACTACAATGAGATGGTATCCCTATGGCAAGAGTTGGATCAGTGCCATGATGATGAGAAGTGGGAGAGTGCCAAGGATCTAGCAAGACACAAAAAAAGGGAGGAAAATGATAGGGTCTACATGTTCCTAGCAGGAATTAATAGAGATCTAGATGAAGTTAAGGGGAGGATACTTGGAAAAAAACCTCTACCCTCTGTCAGGGAGGTATTTTCTGAAATCGGGATGGAGGATAGCAGGAAGAAGGTTATGTACAGCATTCCAGTACATAATGAGGAATCTGGGGACTCTTCAGCAATGGTGGCTAGGAGTGATGACAAGAAAAAACCTTGGTGTGATCATTGCAAGAAATTATGGCACACTAGGGAGACTTGTTGGAAAATTCATGGCAAACCACCAGGGGCAGGAAAGAAAAAAACTGAGAAGGCCCTACAAACAATTGTGACTGAGACTCAACAAGAACCACAAGTCAAGTTCAATCAGCTTTCATTCACTCAGGAGAAGATAGGGCAACTTCTTAACTTCCTTAATTCCCAGAAAACCCAAAATTCCCAGAAAGAATCCAAACCATAATCTTCCTCTTGTTCTTATGCCCAAAATGGTACCTATTCATCATTTTTTTGTTCTGGGAAATCTAAAAATACCTGGATTATTGACTCAGGGGCTACTGATCACATGACTTCTATTTCAAATCTTTTTTCTTCATATAAACCTAGTGCAGGAGATAAAAAGGTTAAGGTTGCAGATGGTTCTCTATCAACCATTGCAGGGATGGGAAATATTAGCATTTCCTCATCACTGAATCTATCCAAAGTCATACTCGGAAGGCCAGCACTGGAGGACCAGGAAGCAGTGATCTCCATGCGGCACCTCTGCATGAAATTCCCGACTGAGACCGGGGTCGGCTGCTGCAGAGGTAGCCAGAAGATAGCTGATAGCCGTTATATTTACTTGTGTTTAACATAAGTATTTATAAGTATTTGTTGAAGAAAAGAAGAGAAATTGGGAAAATATCTTGAGAATGAGAGTTAGAGCATAAAACATTGTTATGAACGACTTTTGGGACCAAAAGGATGACGTTTTGCCCATCATTTGAGTATAACGTATTGTAGAGAACTCGAAATCACTCCATTCGAATTTCATGTGCATGGTAACTCAATAATGTACAAATGTTATGAAGACATCATGACCAGAATAGGAAAGGAACAATACTCAATCAACCGATAAAGTCAGATGTTGCTGGTGGGATTTCAGGATGCATACCTCTCAGTGTTTTATCCATATATGTTGATTGGATGAATAAAATCACGTCATTCAAGTTTTGTTGGATAGAAGACTTCATTATCTACAACTTTGGTGAAGGAATCATGTCCAAATTCGTAGCGGAACATCTCCAATATCCCGGTACAAAAACCGACACTTTTTGATCTATTTC